CCAGTTAAAACATTATGTTTCAGATTACACTCTGATTAAACATCTTTGAATACGTTTGATGTGTTATTGTGATCAAGGGCAACTGTAAAGGTTGAGTTGTTACTAGCAACAACCATAAAGTTGGCCCATCTTTTCCCTCTTTTACTAGCATGCCCTTACCACCAAAGTTGATAATTTCGTTGGCCTGTACAAATCAGTTTTTGACAAATCTGAGACACTTAAGTTTCCTATTTCGTTCTGCTATTTGTGCCAGCCAATACCAGGCTGTCTCAGTTGTACTGGCCTGTTTCGGTCATTTCAGACAAACTGGCCAGTGCATTAACCATATAATAAAATCGAATTTTTTCAGATATATATAGTTGAAGGAGGGAATTAAACCATGGATCAAAGAGATCTTTTGTTTTTAGCAACCAAAGAGGAGAATGTGCCTATTGTTGCCAATGCCAAATATTCCTGAAATTACACACACAAAGAGGAGAAAAAGGGATCGTGTAAGCATGGAAGTATTGGGTTCAAAAGATAAAGAGAATCCTACAGATCTGCCATTTGGGTAAAGAATGAGAACACTAGAAGAAACAAGATGAGAGAAACAGAGAGTTAGAGAAGATAGGTCTCCGAACTTTGGAATCTTCCTTACCTATACACTCATTTGCATCTAAGACTGATATGGGCTGGCTGCTTGCTTATTTTTGGGTCCAAATGGCATTGGATAAAATATCATTTCTCTTTGTTTTTCTTTTTATTTTTTTCAAGGTACAATACCGTTTATATTTTGATAAAGAAAGTACATTTACACTTTTTTTTCATCTTCGAATGAAAATAAGAGACCCAATCTATATAAAGATACACATATTTTATATTTATATATCTATCCATCTCTCTCTCTCTCTCTCTCTCTCTATACACATACACACACACACACACACAGAGAACAAACTGAAAACCCTGAAACGGTACCAAAACAACCTATAACAGTATATACCATGGCTTTTTGAAAAAGCCAAAATGCTGTCAGGTATGATACTAGCAACCCTGCTTACTACATGAAGTGAAAAAATGTCCGAACTTTAAATTCATCTGCAAATGTTTAACATTCTCAATTTCTTTTTGCAGTTTATTAATCATCTGATCAATCAGCTTGCAAGGCATCAGCTCTTAAAAATAGCTTGTCAATTGGAAAAGAAGAATATGCTTGGAGCATATTCGTTGCTTAAAGTTATTGAGTTAGAGCTTCAGGGGTACCTGTCAGCAACCAAAGGCCGAGTGGTATGTTGGATTTGATGGTCTGGTTGTGTATTCTTGTGTGCATCCTTATGTTTTACAAATGTTTTCTTTATGATGTCCACAGGGACATTAGTACATCTATTACCTCTAGCCTGCCACTTGCTGCTCTCCCTTTTTGCAATTCTACTCATTGCTGTTGTATACATTTATATTACAGTTTGATTGTGACACATTCCATGTTAAAATGTCTCTAGCTTGAATATTAGAGCACAAATTGAAGTGTCCTTTTGTCGGTTCATACTCGGTTGATGGACTACAGGCAGGGTTAGTTAATTTTCCTTTGCTCCACAAATTTTGAGAACTAGTACTGTTGTACAAAAGAACGAGGTGAAGAGCACTATTGAATCTGAATTTTTTAGCACAGTTGTAAAGATGGAATTTAAAAAAAAAAATGTTTCATTAGAAGTACCAGATGGTCCGTAACTTCTAGGTGAAAGAAATCTGTCTCCTTTTCCCCTCTTTCTTTTTTGTATGTGGAAGGGTGGACATTCTCCTTGAGTACACTACAAGTAGTCGCTACCAAAAAAGCTAATGCTCAGCCACTTGTTAAAAGGATCTTGATATTGACTGCTTTCAGAAGTTCTATTTGTATTCTTCTCCTTAATTCCTGGTTCAACACTACATGAGATAGTATCGTTTCCCTGATACTGTTTCAGATTTCCTTGGAAATCCTCCTATGGGTCTTTTCCTGACAGTAGAAAGCTGTTTCTTATCATTTAGGGGCGTTGCTTGGCACTAATTCAAGCTGCATCTGATGTCCAAGAGCAAGGTGCAGTGGATGACCGAGACACTTTTCTGCATGGGGTTAGAGACCTTCTAAGTATCCATTCAAGTAATGTCCCCATTGCTATAAATTAAGACCTGATTATTGTTTCATACTGTAACTACGAGAGATTAGTGTTTATCAGAAGGATTTTAAGTTGTGGTTGCTTTTGGCATATCTTTTAGACGCACAGGCTGGTCTATCAACGTATGTATCTGCTCCAGGCATTGTTCAGCAGATATCTGGTCTACATTCAGACTTGATGGCTCTTCAGTCTGATCTGGAGAATTCCCTTCCAGAGGACAGAAATAGATGTATCAATGAGCTGTGAGTTACTTTCAATGTATCCTTGAATATGACCTTGAATTTATCTTCAACATCACTATTGAACACATTCCAATGTATTGCATGTTACCTGTATAGTTGCCAAGTTCAATATTATGAGAGAATACTAATGGCATATAGTGCTAATTTACATGCTCTTTTTTCTTCTGAAAATGTACAGCTATGCAATAGAAAAAATCCTCCTAAGAGATGATCCTACTGCACATATTTTATAAAACCTGTCTGTTGAAGAAACTGTCGGGGGAATTTTCCTTTACCAGATTATCTGTTTCAGTATTTGTCATTTCTTGAGTACTATTGTTGCCAGCATCACCACATTATCATGCCTTGCTTATCGCATGTATCGTTAGCTATATCATAAACACATGTTTGAATTGTCTGCTCAGGTTCCCTAGAACAGCAGCTTTAGTATTCATGAATGCCAGTTTGAGATACATGGATTATATACAGTAGTTTTTTGGTAGCCCGTATGAATGCTAGTATGATAGTCTTGTCTGAAGCTTAAAGAACCTACTATGTAAGGTGATATCCTTTTGGCAAGGCTGAAGTAATGTTGCTTGCAACTGCAGTGACCAAAATCCAGTAACAGAAGATTAAGGATGCAGTCAAAACCTTCCTAAATGATTTAAAAAATTGTCTTGCTAAGGTTGTTGATTTATATTCAAACTTGTTCCTTCTCCATTCTTGAGTACCTTGGATTGTGATTATTTATCTAAGGATCTCATTATCCAAGCGTATGATACAATAAAAATGTTCAAGGTACTGTGCCTTGGGTTACAGAGTGTCATTTTTAGGTATGCTTATCTGCAATAGAGTGCTTATTTTTCCAAAATCTTCTTGGCAGGGAGAATTTGCTTTAGAAGTACCATTTTTTTCTTCAAAACAGCACTTGTCACTGGCATTGACAATAACCTGCAGGATAGCAAGTGAACCTGTAACTTTGGAACATGTGAATTTGTCCAAATGTTGGATGAAGTTGTGCCCCTATCATGTTTTTGATATTTTACCTCCTGCAAAAGCCAACATAAGTCCACCGTCTTTAAACAACACCACCTTGTCCCCTTTTTTCCCGAGGCATAGCCCCGAGGATAATGCAGTAGAAATTAGTATTGGTTTATCTATCTGCCAGTCCAAACTAATCTGAACTATCACCCTATCTATTTCACTTCTCTCATCTGTAATTTTGAGGCTGCCCTAAAGTGGCAGTTGAAGAAGAGAAGGAAACTCCTGGTATGATTATGAGATGCCTGGGAGAGGAAACAAATTATTCTTTCTGTATGACATTGTAAACCAGCAGACTTTCTTTGAGTTTTGTATAAAGAATTTTACTATGTTTTAGCTAAGGAAAATTGCAAGTATCACCTTTAAACACATTTTGAATAAGAGTAGATTTGTGTTTGATGGATTTTTGGTTCCTTGTAAGTTACATATCTCTTCTGTATTGTGCCAGGTGCACTCTGATTCAAAGTCTACAGCAATTATTATTTGCATCTTCGACAACTGCACAACCAATATTGACACCACGGGTATGTTCTTCAAAAATTCATACAAGCCTTGTTGATTGCTAGAAGCATGATCCTGCCTTTATTATTGCCTCGTTAGTTGTTATTGGTCTTACCTTTCGGATGATAAATTGATGTGCTATGCTGTGACATTTTGATGCCCCTTTCAGCCTTTAATGAAAGAGCTGGATGAAATGGAAAAGATCAATGCAAAACTCTCTGCTGCAGTTGAGGAGGTGACGCTTGAGCATTGCAAGAAGAACGAGGTAATTGGAGTTAAACCTTTTCAACATCTCATGGATGAATTGATGCTTATCACTGCATATTATTACTATATCTGAACCATTTTCCATTTCCACCAATGAATCCAGTATATTTAAGAAATAATATAATTATTCTGCCAATGGTGTCTGAAACATTTGCCAGAGTTTCTTATTTGTGGTCTCTATGAATCAATCAATTTTAGGAGTAGACTTTACTTGATGTGAGAGAACCTTTTGAGAAGTCCTCTTATCAGGTCACTGTAATTAAGCTCGTGACAAGAATCTAATGGAAGAACACTTTGGATTATGTAACCGCATTGCATATGCAAATGAGTGAAAAAAATAAGGTGGTTACTATAATCTATTGTATGCAGCTGAGTGAAAGTTGTGCTATCATATGCATGCTTATGGTATAACTTTCTAATATCCAGCTTGACATATGCATTCTTTGTTGTGGCATGCAGATTGTAAAACATCATTCCCAAGAGGTTGGTCTGCAAAGGCGGGTATTTGTCGACTTCTTCTGTAATCCTGAGCGATTGAGGAGCCAAGTTAGGGAATTGACTGCTCGTGTCCGAGCTTTGCAAGTTTCCTAGTCCCTATACTCATGGACAGTCTTACAATAGAACATCTTGAAAAACCCTTTTTCGTTTTGTTGGCTTGTATTATTATGTAAGTATCAAAAGGTTAAGAAAAGTTTTAATTTGTTCCCACTGAATTTCATTTAGTTTTTCTCAATTTAAAGTTGATTATTTTTCATATTACATAACTAACAAAGCTTTTAAACAAGTTTTTACTTTCTGCTACGATTTAAAATGTAATTTTTTTATAATAAAAATAAATTTTATTCGGCGGAAGTGCATTACCCAAAACAAAACTCAATCCCCTAACACTGTATAACCCCTCCAAGTGCATGTCCTTTTGAGTTTTGTTACTCTTTCTGCTCATAGGCTTGATTCCGCTAATACAAACAATCGGCAAAAGAGATAAAACAAATATAGCAAAACTAAGAGTTTTAGCTAATTCAAGCATTGATTACCCAAATCCCTATCAAACTTCTTACTATGGAAGCAAATCAAAATGAGCTCCAGATCGATGTCCTTCCCGCAAGTAGCTTTTTCTTCAAAGCCAATCAGCAACCGTACTCTCGTGGCGCACAAGTCAAATTTGTAAGAGCGAGCAGTCATTTATTAGATGTTCCCAACAGGGACTCAATGATTTGATAGTTCTTGAAGAGGTGCGCCTATTGACTTGGACAACACCATGAACCTTTTTTCTGTTATGTGCAAAGGACGCTATGGGCTTGAAATGCCATCCTGAGATGCTCACAGGTTTCGCCCCTCTTGCTGTTCAATTCAGGGATTCCCTCAGTATGAAGGGCAAGGAAATTGATGACATTTAAAGGAGTTAGATTAGTTTTCTGACTACAAATGTCCTTGGATTAGTTTTCTGACTACAAATGTCCCCACTTTATGAATAAAAAGCAGAGGGAAACTAAAAGAGGGGTGTAAAATTTATGCCATTTACAACCTGGAATGATGCTGACCAGAGAGCCAGAGGGATTGTTATTGGCCTGGCAGACTGCTTTCAGGAACGGGTTTCAGTTTCGGAGAAGAAGCCCTACCAAGCCTGGAGAGAACAGGCTGACCACCCGCACCCTTTAACTTATTGCTAGCGCTTGCCATTGAGCAGAAGGATGAGTTCTGAGTCGCTGCAGTAGCTCGATGAAGGTGGCACCTGAAGGAACCGGCGTGGCTTGTTGGAGAGCAGATGCAACTCTTCTTGGATTCCAGACTGGCTTTGGTCGCCATCACATTCTTCTTGGCCTTCATGAATTCTTCTCCCCCATTTGGTGGACACTTGATTAGAGTGGGCCTGCACAGAGTAATAAATCAACACCCAAGAAAAAGAGATACACTGTATTTATTACAGATGTGATATGTGCATTAGCAGTCAGGCTCTCCCCCTGAATTTCGTATTAACTACACCCATCACACTAGGAACTTAATGCACAACTAAGCATTCACGTGCCATTGTTCTCAACAAAACTTGGTATCTGGGTTAGTTTTTTATTTATTGATGAGTGCAGTAACTGTTTCTTTTCTTGTCAAAGAGATTGAGAAACTCAATGACAAGGTACACAAGGAATAACACGTACCTAGACTTTTTCCCATCTCAATTTAGGACACTAATTTCAGCCAAAAGCTATAATATATATGCCAATTCCATTATAATTTATAAGTTTTTCAACAGATTCTCCAATGACCTAAACCAAAATCCAAACAATAATTAACAATTTATAACTACAAAGTTAATTTGCAAGTTGAGTAATATTTTCTTGTAGGTATCAAATATCTTTTACAAATATTCTCAACTATACATAAATTCTCCGCTGAAAAAACATTTTCATACATTTTTTTTCTCTTAATATTAAATTTGGTTTTCATTTACACTAGCAAAAATCAACAATAATATCTCCCTCTGCCGACAGAACAAAAGAAGTACAAGCCACAAAATAAATGAATTTTCTTAAAATAAAAATAAAAATAGAACTCAATTAATTAATATACTTTAAAAAACAGAGTTATATCTAGGAGATCCTAGTAGTGTATGGTCAAGAATAACATAATGAAGCCCTTTTTGTTTGTTTGTTTGTTTTGCAGGAAAAAGAACGATGAATTGCATACCAGGCAGCCATGGGGATCGGGTTCGACTTCTCTGACTTGAGTGACTCAGCTGGCATTTTTAACCAAACCAAAGAAAAGAGACTTAGCAGAAGAATAAAGAACCCAACAAACAGTAGATAGAATATGTGTGAGAGAGAGGATTAGCGTTGGAAACGTTCAATTATCAACACAGATAAGGATGCTTTTTTTTAGGAGAAAATTAAGGGATAAATACTCAGAATTGGAGATTGGAAACAGAGAGAGGGCCATTTTTTGACGTGTCCAAAGGCGCATGCATGCAAACTAACGTTCCTTAACACTTGGCTATTGCATGCATACATGCACCATAGCCTAAATTATTCTTGCGTTTTTTTTTCTAGGAAATATATATATATATATATATATATCTTAATTAAAATTCACCCATTAATTAATTAAGTAGCCTGCATGCCTCACCTCCGTATCTTTCAATCTCTCTATCATTTTAATTGTTCCTTTTGTTGGTGTGAGAAGATTAAAGCCTTATCGATTAATAAACCGCCTCATCCAGCTCATGGCATAGAACCCAACTGGCTTGAGGTCTCGGATTTCTGCACAATTGCCACCTGAAACCGATGAGCTCACCCCCAAATTATAAGAGCCCAAGGAAAACCCTCCCAGCCTCAATCACCTACAACAAAAAGAACTCAACAATCACCCAAATACAGCAAATCACAAGAGGACAATTTGATTCTCAACTAAGCCCATTTAACTCTTTGAGAATTCAGATAAGTCCTGGATATTTTATTATATACAAATAAGTTATTATATTTTTATTTGAAGTTAAATAAGATATATCATAGTGAATGGTAATATGATATGATTACGTGATCACATGATAATATAAAATGACAAGACGTATTTTAATTAATAACAATTAGTCAATTACTAAGATCTATTTGACTCAAAATAAAAATATAAAAATTTGATATATGTAATAAAATAAAATTTTTTAATTTTTTTTTAAATAGTGGAAGAGACCTTTTAAAACATTATCCCAAAGTTTCAAAACATATTCAAATTATTTCAAAATTCTATACACTTGATCTATGTAATAAGATCTTTTAATTAATTGATTTAGCTTTCTAAATTTAACTTTTACTTGATCATTTAAAAAAATCTCAGGAATTTGACTTAAGAAACCTTACCTAAGTTCTGCCCTTGGATTCATTCAACCATTAGTCTAAAAGTTATACTTAATTACTACTACCTTTTTATTAGCCAATTCTAGAAGGGAAAAAAAAGAGAGTTAAGATTCATTTTCAAATTTGTTTTCCCATTGATCACTAGAGATAATGAAATTTTCAATTAACAACCCAAGGTGATATAATAATTCTCTATCCCCTTCTGCCATGCTGATTTCTCACTTTTGTTCTCGAAAATGAACTTTGGACATCTGACTTTTGATGACTTGATGAAGGAGAATGGAACTGTCCCGAGGAGGAGGGACAAGCACCAAACTTATGAATGCAAATTAATTACGCATGCATATGTATTCAATTTCGAATGAGATGAAAAGGGCAATGAGCAATGTCTAACAATTAAGCTTAATGCGGTGAACAAAATCGTCTTCATTCCCACAGTAACTTGTCGTGCTTGTATGATTTAAGAGGAAGAGGAAATCCGAATCTTGGACTTAATTTGTCACTAAGAACAGATGATAGCTATCATTAATCCAATCCAAATCTTAGCTGTGAATGATAACTAGGTATAGGTTTGTACTATCAAAGCGTGATAAATTAATTTTATATACTTATTACAAGATAAGGGTCTGAGCTACACTTGTGTCATCACTATTGTTGCAGTCGGAAAAACCCTTAAGTCGACAAGAACCACACACTTCTCCATGTGATTTTAATCATGATCCAAACCCAAACTCACCCTCAAGGATTTGTACTTATTAAGAGTCATGCTTCGTACGTGTGAATGTACTAATTAAGTACACGGTAAATTTCCCATTCTTTTGAATGCCAAGTACCCGATGCCTTTCCCCTTTCAATACTATGAAAAACCAAAGAGGGGGGAGAGTGGTGTAAACTTCAAAATTTGACCACTACTAGATACTTTGGATTGGACATGGCACACAAACAGGTGGTGATAGACTTAGCATCTTCTCAATCAGCAAGAAAAGACTTAAGCCACATCATCTTCCATCAATCACAATTCTAGTAAAATTGGATGCATCACTAATTGAGAATCTATTAGTACAAATCGCATTAAGTGTGAGGGGAAAAAAATCCTTTGGAAAAGAAGCTGGGCTTCCGAGGTGATCTAGCCCATGTGGTACAGTGGCAATGGCCCCAATGGCACCCCTGATTTCAAGAAAAGAAGTGATCATGTCCTACACATGAAAGGATCCATTTTGATGCGGTTTATCTTTAAATTCTTTGTGGACTATCACTTTTTTGGTATATCCCATTCTCTTTTCTTTTAGTTATCCTCTTTTACATTTTTCCTTCCTCTTTTTCTCTCTCCAAAGTCTAAACTTTAAAGCAAAGACTCTTCTTTATAAGATGTATATAGTTTCTTGCTTGCACGTATGCTTTGCTTAAGCCCTCATTGCTTTTCCCTTAATGCCCCATCTTAATCCTAGTGGAAGAAGAGAAAAAGGATGGAGTGAATTGAGTGATGATACAGATTCAGGCGTAGCCCGTGATGTTAGCAACAACCCAAAAAGAGAAAGGTGTTCCAAGTGCCAACCACTGTCAAGTCTAAAACTGCTGTTTCTTCTTCCTTTTCCATCCTTTGTAAAATCTGTTAAAAAGGGTTTGCCCCATTCCTCCAAAAGTAACCCATTGAAGGGTTCCAAAATGAAATATAAACCCCATGAAAATGATTCCCAGAATCTGCATTCAACAATCAAAAGAATCACGTGATCTCTCTCTCATGATGTATGTGGTCTTTGTTAAAATCTCCTCTCAATCTCATAGTCATAGATTTGATTTCAATTGCTAAAAAAGGGTAGTACAATATGCAGAGGACTGTTTTACATCATAGTAATTCAAAGAAAATATACAAATCTTGAGAAACCAGCATTCTTCTCTTTTCACTATCCTTTTTCATTCCGAATATGGTCAACCAAGATTCCCAATTTTCCATTGTCAGAGCCTCCAAAAGACTGAGCCATACAAACAAAAAAACATGAGGAAAGGGTTTAAAAGAAAAACCCTTCTCCTTGACAACAAGATTCTGCTTCTCACATGGTAATAATGATGATAATAGTAATAATCACTATAACAATTCTCTTCTTAACCCAGTAATTCCCCCTAATATATAAAGGGAAGGGAAAGAAGTCCAGCCCACGGCATCTCCATTAACTCTTCTCAACTCCTTAAACTCTATTTACGTGATCCTATATATATATATAAGCTTTAATTTAGCACTTGGGAATGGCAGCTTCACAATGCACAAGTTGGCACCAAGCAGCTTGAAAAGAAACCCAATCCTCTCTTCTGCATCAAATAAAAAAATCAAAAGGATCAGAACATTAACTTGACTGGACACAATATTATCTTAAGCAGGATTGGTAACATGGATTAATGATTATAAAGCTAAGATAAGATAATGGGAGGGTGGAGCCTACCTTTTTGGGCTTTGCGTAAAGGAGCTCAGGGGAGATTTTGTAGAGGTCTTCATCAACGGGTTTGGGCGTTTGCCTGGGCAGAGGAGTGGGGCTTGCTGGTTCCTTCACGTCACTGACCTCCCAGCGTTGCTTTTTCCCTTCTTTAACATGCGACTGACGTACTTTTGTCTGTAATTTTCAAACGTTATTTACCAAAACATCCATTTACTATTATTTGGATGAGACATGGCAATGCATGTTTATCAACAATCATCATCATTCCATCACCATCCCATTTCTGTTGATAATGGAGTAAAGATAGCGGACAAGATTTCTTGTTTCTTTTTCGAAACAAAATATTAAAACAAAGTCACATTAATTTGACTTTAGAAACCAAAAAAGCCTTTGGTCCCCACCGGCATTGGAAAGCATTTCGCTACGTTTTAGCTAATAAGCTGAAATTGCATTTCCTCCTTAGCACATGGGTGCTGCTATACCTCCTATTCTGAGAATAGCAGTTTCTGTTTCTCACATTGTTTGGTGAGCTTCTTTCTGTATTAAATTAACACAAAGTAAGCTTCTTTTTGTGAAATTTTCTTTTTCCTTTTTGACATTTTGGATCCCTTCTTGTAACCAGGAACTTCTTTTCACAAAACCACGCATGAACAATTCAATGCATATGAAGAAATCATAGCCTTTCACACGCATGAAAAGGATAAATATAAAATCAGGAGAAAAAAAATGAAGTACCAAGTATCTCAATGCACATGCACAGGTGAAAAGCAAAAAGAATAAAACACTACCACCAAGAAAAATCAGCTTCAATATGGAAAGGAAAACTGGAAAAAGAAAACCAGGAACGTGAGAAAAATTAAGGCTTAAGCTTCTGCTTCTTCCTCTTCTTAGCGCTTAGTACTTACCCTTCTGCGAGGAACAACAATCATGGCAGGCGTAACGACGTCATTCTCATAAAGATCACCAGCAACATACAAATCGCGATCCTCGGAGTAGCTGTAACGAAGCAACCCAGCTTGTCTAGCTGATTCAAAACACTGAGTAAACGGGAGGTCATTGTTCCAATCCCAGCTGCCAAAAGCTGGAACATGGCTCCTTCTATAATAATCCTAAAACAAAACAAAAGTTATCTCATCAGCAACAACAATGCAAGTACAAAACCAAAGAGAAAAAAACCACACACGCATTAACCAAAAGAAGAATAAAATTGAAACTTTATTTGAAGCGTAGTGATGGACAGAGGAAAAAGGGTAGGCTCTAATACTTACATCCATATTGTGACACAGAGAGAGAGAGACAGAGAAAGAAGTGGTGGAATATCTTGGAGATTGACCTGACTTTCGAGATCAAGAGGCCCTTTGAAAGGGAGGAGACTGGACTGGAGAGTTTCCAATTTGTGTTCTCTTTCTCTTGTTTCTTTCTTGGGTGGGCGTGGGAATTTCTGTCAATTTAAAAGAGGGGAAAGGGCAGCTAAGAGAGAGAGGAAGCATAGGGTACAGTAGGGGAGTAGGGGCATGGGGATCCCAAGCAATAAAACTTCTGTAAGGTAAAAAGAAAGTAACCCAGATAACGAAGTTTCACAGTAGAAGACAGACGGACAAAGAGGTAAGGTAAGGTAAGGTAAGAAAAAAAGGTTAAAGTCAGAGAGAGAGAGAGAGAGAGAGAGAGAGAGAGGAGTAACAGGTTTAGGTTGCTTTTGATTTGGGTTTTTAAAATATTCCATCTTTAACTTTTTCATAAGGGTAGGTTTATGTGCTTTGCCTAGTTTGTCGCTGATCAAATGTATGAGCGTATATTCCAATGCCTTGATTTCTCTTTTCTTCTGTTTTCTTTTTGGTTTGTATTGTGGGTTTCTCCAATCTCCAAGCAAGCAAAGGCTATGCTTTGGCCTTTTTTAGGCTTTTTTAACCCCACACGCGTAGCCCAGTAAAACTTGGTGTTTTGTGCACAAGAGAGTGGCTGAGATTGAAAAAGTTTAAATATAAATATGTATATCTGTCTATATTTTAATTGGTTAATGACGATGAAGTCAGTTAGAGGTCAACACTCAACAGTTCACACTGGGCATAAATGGTACTGAGAAGGTAACAGTCTTTTAAAGTTGAAACTTGCAGGAGACAAAGCTCCAGTTAAATAGAATATATTATCTTTGCAGTTTATTTGGATAAGGACATGTGCACTGTGCACACCAGCTCTGCCCTTTGCTCCTTTCAGCTTTTCATTAACTCCTTACTTAACCCCTTTCCCCTTGGGCTTTGCCCTTTCATCAGTTGATATTTTTCTTAGCATACCCGAATTGATGATAATGTTTTCATTTTTGCAAGAGATCAGTACTTACTTCATTTTCTTCCATTCCATCCGAAGCCTTAATTGTTTATACACATTCTAACAGTTTTCACTCTCGAGTTTACCTATGCTTTTCTTACATCACAAGGGGATGACAGGAAAAGGAAAGCATCTATATATGTATACGGCAAATAAGTGATAGAGTAGGTTTAGGCCAATAACCCAATTACAGAATTTTCTTCTTGTTGACAAAAGGAAATAGTTTAACAAGTAACAAGCTTGCTCTTAATGAGTCTTAGCCCCTTAGCTTCACACTTCTCTCCATAAAACTCAAGGGATCAAAGTTTGTACGACTGTGTATGATGTAAGCAATTCCTTTTCTCTTTTTGATTCAATATTTGATGTAAGCTACTTTTATTTTGTCTTAATCCAAATTCCTCTTTCACCCCCCAAAAAATAAAAAACGAAGTTACACATTTTAAACAGTATGTTGCCCCAAGGCGCAAGTCATGGGATTTCAGATTCACCTGCATTTATTAACATGAAAACCCGGAAAAGAGAGAGAGAAAGAAGGAAAAGGAATAGCACTCTCTCGTCAATTGTCATGGAGATTCTAGCCATACCGTTAGTTTCAACTTTCAAAAACCCAGAGGCTCGGGGCCAAAGAAATGGAAGAAGTTGAAGAAAAAGATAAGAGGAAAGGTTACAAGGCACTAGTAAACATGAATTCCTTCTTTATTCGTAATATTTTGTCTGCTATCGTATGCATGAATCTGTTCTTTTTTTTTTTTCAAAGAATGCTTTGCATGAATTGCAACTATCACCGCCTTTGCATTTTTCAAAGACTTTATCATTATGTCTGCTATTTTTCTCACAAATTCTTCATGAATTTTGTCAAAATGGGGTTTCGAATTATCTAAGAGTCTGGTCAACTGAGAAAATTTGAGCCATTTGATACTCGGGCATTACATCAGATCCACCATCAACCTATTGGGTCATTAGTTGGAGCATTTTCAACCAAGCAGGAACACAGTAAAAACATTGCTTAAACTGTGCTTTTTCATTGAAGATTGCACGTTAGAACTCCTTTTTTTTTACCACAAAAACCTTGACATCAATCACGATTTGACGTGGATGAACCTTTTCCGAAGAACCTTGTTTTGTTTGATACCTCGGAACAATGCATTCCCCAGATTCGGAAGTATCTATTTTTTATCCAAATTTAGTGTTTTTTCTCTTTTGGCCTTCAGAAGTCAAACTGGATTTTATTAAGATTTAATTACAAGCGCACACAGACAACACATGATAACGCCCGTAACTTTCTCCCTCTTTATCTTCTTCCCATACACTAATTCGTACACCATATATGCTTTGGTTAACAACTTTGCTAATACAACTTAAGGATCGAAATTCATGAGACTGTTTCTCTATTACCAAACAAACAATGGTTTCCCCAAAGTTACAGGTCATGAAATTGATTCACTCTGAATAAAAAATGGGGGAAAAAAGGATAAAAAAAAAAAGAAATGATTCACTCACTCTCTTGTCAATTGTCATGGAGAATCCAGACATCATGTAGTTTGAAAACCCATCTTCAAGAAAACGAAAAGGGCATCAAAGAGAGAAATAAAACGCAAGGTTCTATACAGCCATGGCGCTACAACACATGAATTTCTTCTTTATTCCTTGTTGTTTGTCCTGTATTGTTTGAATGAACTCTCCTTTTTCTCTCAGAAGAGAGGCTTGCAACTTTGCGTGAAGTGAGCCATCAACCATCATCTAACGTTTACCATATCTTTTCAGGGTTGGTATATTCTTCTATGACTTTTCCTACCTCTAGGCAGCTGGACTACTTGTCTCATTTGCCAAATTTTTACCCCATTGTTGCCTCCACTGTGTGAAGATGGTCAGTTATTTTTTTTTGGGGGGGGGGGTGTAATTAAAGAAAATAAATCAATCAATAAATACAACATAAAGATATTAACTCATACACAATATGCATGTGTAATCATATACTAATAATATACCTTTTTATGTTGAGAAAGTTCACATTATGGATTTAAATTTCAATTCACATTTAAATGAATAAGAAAAAGACATTATCTGTCAATTGTATTGCCAAGCTAATGATGGTGCTACTTACTAATTAAAGTTTGGTGTGAAAGTCATTTGGAGGTTATTTAAGATTAAATCCTGCTTCCTTCTTATACATAGGGCTAATTAAGCAACAAAATAAAAAACCAGTTTAATTAGTAAATTTTTTGTTCCGTTTAAGTATTTATTGTATTTGATTCGCAATTCAGATAGTAATTGTATGAATTTAATTTGGTTCAAATTTTGATTCATAAATTATCAATTTTTTTCAAATCATATTAAATTATAATTTTTTATGATATTTTTAATTTTTTTTAAAAAATAAAACTAAACATCAACTAAGAATTTTGTCCTAAAATGAAACGAAAATTGTATGCAGCCCTAATTAGGTGTATGGCGTACGGTTTACAAGCGAAAAGGGCAAAATGGAAGCAAAGAAAGAAGACCAACCCTCAGATGAGATGGGCTTGCAGATAGAAAGCCTCTAATTGTATTGGGCCTATATATATTGGTTGACAATAAACAACAAATAGCTCAATGATTGTCGTCTGAAAGTAGAAAAAAGTTCTGCTGAATGAAAGGAACTTAAGTAGTGGGTGTAATGGTTAATTGAAGAGATAAGCAAGGGGGCCCTCTGCAATCCTTGTCCCACCATTTCCAATTGGCACTCATTATTGATTTTTGTCGCTTCTAATTAACTTGAAATCATGTGTTATGGCTATATATTCAACGTTTGAATTCATTGAATAATTAGATTCTTCAGACAGCTAGTTGTTAGCATATATAGTAGGGAGTAGAAATTTCTTATAAGTGTGTTACCTATTTAATTAGTCATAAAAATATTTTAATGAATATTCTTTTATTATTTTGCCCCAATGATAAGTATTTGTATTATAATTTTTTTAAAAAAAATTACAAATCCCTCTTTTCCTTAAATAAAAAATAATAATGAGGTTGAGACCCAAATAATATATGAAAACCAACTTTTAGATATTATTCGAACTTGAGAAACATTACGAGTTGTGCTCACATGGGATTTCGGATCTCCATGGGGAGGATGTCATAAATAAAGCACATGCTTATCGAATCTTACATCGAATTGAATATATATTAGAATGTTAATTATTCATTAATACTAATATATAGAAAAAAATGTGTAGATTATGTTGCTTCATCAAAATTTGCACAAAACCAATTGAATTCCACCAAAAATAGTTGAGAGAAAAGATTTTATAGAAGAAATTATCCTTACCCTTACCTTTAAGGAAGGAAGATTAGTAGGAGTTGCTTGGCCTTGGTTTGTTAAGCTCTAGCTATGTAGATGGTGTTTGTTTGGGCTTAAAAAAAAATAAAAGTAAATTATATATATATATATATATATATATATTGAAATTTGGTGGTTCACATGATCGTATGATACTATTAGACGCCAATGATTAGTGGCTGGAACGTTTGCGAGCTCCGAAGCTCTTTTTACCACGTGGTTTTGCAAGAAAAGAGTGTTAAGGCTGGGATTATTCTAAACTCGAGAAGAAATGGTACCAAGTACACTGGATGTGTCATTCCCATAGATTCCTGAGCTAGTTTATACTTTCCATAGCAAAAGAAGAAACTGCAGCTATTGCTTTCCATAACCTGAAAACAAGACATGAGTCCTCAACATCTCCATGACCATGGGCAATAATTTTATACACCCTCTTACCTCTTATAATTCCTTTATAGCCTGAAAGTACTCTCTTCGCTTCCATGCACGCTATGAAGACTTGATTGCAAATTCAATTAAAGCTAAAAAACACGTCTTCAAAATCAATGACAGATCACATAATATTCGTCAAGTCTGTGTACTCACAAAAATCTTTCTGTCTTTATGTGGCGGTTATAGAACCCACCTTACACTCAGAGCATCTTAATTCTTAAGCAAAGCCAATGGCCAGTGGACGATGTAAAACAGAGATATAAGAAAAAGCAGTGGGCCGGGAACCACCCGTGACTCTTGAGTCCTGACAATTCTCCTTCACGGGTCCAAAACTCGTGGTGCTCAACTCATCTTGTCATCAGTATATATGACGGCCCCAAAACTTTAGAAACACAGGCTCACCATTGTTTTCTTGAGGCTTGAGCTTGTAGTAAAACGAAAAAGCTATGGCTACAGGGAAGTTGGTTGCTTCAATGTTGATAATGGTTGCATTAATGTTTGAGGGGTCAAGGGCAATGACCTTGTGTGACATGGACGATAAAGCTCTGGCGGACTGCAAGCCATCTGTGACTCAGCCTAACCCAGCCGACCCTTCACCTGACTGTTGCGAGGCGCTTAAAGGGGCCGACCTGGCATGCTTGTGCTCTTATAAGAATTCAATGTGGCTGCCATCTTTTGGGATTGATCCGACGCTTGCCTTGACTCTACCTCCCAAGTGCAATCTCCAAATGCCTCCTAATTGCTAAGATACCCATCTCTCTCCTTTCCTTTACAAAGTAATCACTAGCAAAGTGGTATGTGGTCTTTTAAAAATTCATTCTTCATAATCAATAAGTTTAACAACCCTTTGTTCCAAATTAATATTCTAAGATGTTGCATTAATCCAGGAGCCCCAACACATCCTTCCATCACCTCTCCTTGTATTTCTATGGTCATATCATTACTAAATTTTCTTTTTCTAGTACTATGATATGATTACTAATGTTTTTGATGTGCCATTCCATCCACCGTGAAAGGAAAATAATGTCTCCTTCATAATTTAGTTTCACGTCAATGTAGTGGAGAATATTTCATGTCAGTTTTGACGGTGCCATTTGTCATATTCAGTCCCTATCCGAGGACAACCATGAGCATGAGGAATCAAATCCTGAACGTGAAATACTGACGTGTGCCCCGGACAATTGATCTCCATCCTTTAAAATTCCCAAAGCTAGGGAAGAGGAGACAAGGGGCATCAAATTTTGGTCCTATAAACACTTGGTTGCTTCACGTACCCTTGGGCCCAGAAACTACATCTCTTGCCCGCCCCACAGCCCCAATCCACCATTCTTGTAGGCCCAATTGTCTTGCTCTCAATTCACCACATGGTTTGCCTCCCCTCACCCTAAAAATAACCCAAGAAAAGTCAGATGGCTAGGCAACTAGGATCTCCAGCCATATTACTACCCGAAGTGCCAATTATTAGTTATTAGTGACCATTTCCATCATTTATTTATATATCATTGAGAAATGTTATTTATATGTTGTTTCAGGTTACCGGAGGAGAAAGAAGCTGCTTTCATGTTTGTCAGCCTTTCAAAAGGTTTTCTGTTTTGGTGTGGAAGATGTTTGCAAATCCTGTATCTGTGTGTATTATGTGTTTACTTGAAGTTTGTATGAACAAGTGGGCTTCTGCTCTTTTGAATTCTAACTCAGGATCTTCAAGTTTTCTAGATTTGAAACAATCGGCTCATTTGCTCCTTGGTTCTTTCAATGGAAAAAACCAACAGAAAGAGGCAAAAAATTTATAAATTTCAATGTTCTTTAAAAATGGGAAAGGAGCGAGAGATATCGGCTTTGAACCCAAAAGTTTAGTCATGGATTCACCATTTCATTTAATGAGGCCGCCATGCATCCGAAACCGATGTGTGCTCTAGGTAGCCCTTTCTTATGGCGTGACTCCTCACCTCTTATTTGTGATGACTCGTGACTCTCTTACTTTAGAATAGATCTTTTTGAGGCTCAGACCCCACCAAGTAAAGGCCCAAATATATGACTTCCAAAGTTTTAGCTATCCAATAGTGAATCCTCCATTATATAAGTCTCATTACTGTAGTAGCTTCCACGTTGAGCGTTGGATTAACTTGGAGGCCCACAAAGGGCATGCTATCCTTGACCCATCTTTTGAACAAAAAAGTTTGATCATGAGTTCTCTTTGTGGGCCTTCTCCATTTTCAACCCCACCCAGACCCACTATCTCGTTTTTTGGGTGGTAGAATGCCAGACCCCACTCTCTTTGCCATAGCAGAGACCAGCAATCCGCAAAAACAAAAAAACCATACGTAGAGAAAAATGCATTGCCGAATCCATCATTGAAGACCCAAGTGGCACAAGCCCACGAGAGAGCGAAGCCAGTTCATGATGTCACATGCATTAACAACAAAAAGAGAGACAGGAGAAAATAATGATAACCATAATAATAAAGGAGAACAACAACAACAACAACAAAGGGCTTCCAAGCAGATTAAGTTTTAACTCTGTAGGATTGGATTAAACAAAAATTATGTTTTTGTAATAAAAAAAATACACGTCAAAAAAGAAGACAGGCACAATAATAATACAAAGTGACCATCCTAAAGTAACGTGGGGAATTACTTTAGAACCCTCATAGTCATATGTAGCTCTTGTCTCTTTTTGCCTCGCGTCCTGGGTTAAAGCCCTGCTAGTTAGCTACAAGTTAGCATATCCATAACATGCTCCCCAAAATATACTCCTTTAAACTTAAAAAGGGACAATGGCCACCATCTAAATAAAAAAAGGGATAATGACCGCAATGTGAAAATTACGTCCAAGTGTTTTCCTTTCCTTTCCTTTCCATTAAATTGTGAAGACAATCATCTGCTAAAACAATTTTTTGGGTCCTCAATTTAAGGAGGCATGAAAAATTCACCCACATTTCACATTTCCATAACGACTTCACGAGAACCCCTCCCCACCCATGTTGGGACCACTAGAGACCTTATCCATTTGCCACGACCTTGTACACTTCATAAGTCACAACAGACACTGCCTTACACCCAATGGACGCGTGTCCACCACTTACTGGCTACCGCACTTTTGCGTCCAAGCCAACTTTCTACTTTATTCCCGCATCCCTCTGCCCCAGGACCTTCTCCTTCGTCCAAGTCTCGAAACAATTTATATTTTAGTCACTGTAAAGACACAATCACGATCACGCTTGCACTTATGCTTATTTACAGTAAAAAATAAGACAAAGCCATTAATAAACAATTAAGGTAAAGAATAGATCCTGCCCCCATTGTCTAATACTAAAATCGTTGACCACGGACCAACGATAAACCACCACTGCAAAACGGACACATACCCCTGTCCAAAACAATGACATTGAAAAGTCATCCTTACCCTTACAACATATTATTGGGCAACTAAACGTAGCATGAAATAAACCTGCTGCGAAATATTACTACATCTACAAACAGAGAAATGTATATAAAAACGGCAAATATAGTGAAATTTAATTAGCGGCAACAGACAGCTGTCGGTTAAAAGATATCCCACAGTCTCTACTTTTTCACTTCAAAACTACCAAAGGTTCACGATGAGCAATATCAAAATATCCAATACCACAGCCTAAACTCTATTGATCACCTAATCCTACCGGCTAGAAACGCCCTTTTTCCTGAAACGGGGTCCCACCCATCACTGATAAATTAAAGGAGAGTTAAAAAAAAGTAGATCAAAGATCGACAGCATCTACGCTTCCACGTCAACGCACTTCTTGGCGGGGGTGCAGATGAGCCAAACGTATCCATAGGGATCCTTGACTTTGCCCACGCGATCCCCACAGCACGCGCCGTCACCCTCAGCTATCTCACCTTCCGCAACGGCTCCAGCGCTCACGGCCTTGGCAATAGCTGCTTCCACGTCCTCGGTCTCGAGGCAGAACACACATCCATTCCCCTCAGTTTTCACCCTGCTCAATTGAAACACGCAAAAAGCAAAGGACTCAAATATGGCACTCGAAAGGAGTAACAAGACAACCGGAAAAAAATGAGTAAACCATTGATGCCAAACTCAGACTAATAACAGCTTCAAATACTGGTATAAACATTTTATAACGAGCTTTAATAACATTAAACATTGTGATAATCTCTGTTAAATTACTTCAGTAAAAAATAAACAGGTAAAGCAGTGAAAGCCAAACAGGACACTATTATATAAATATCGATCGTTGACAGCATACTCAGGAATTGCATGTTTGAGAAAGAAAGAATATAAAAAAAGCATACATAATCTTTCAGTCATGCAGATCTAAAGAAACTGGAGCTCTAAACAACGAAACCGCAAAATCAGGAGTTAACACCGTTCATAAAACTACCAAAAATGAGAAAAAAAATTAAGTGCAAAAAAATGGTTTCCTAGCTAAACAAAAGGATATCAGAGCAGGCACTCATATAACACGTACACCAAACAAGAAACTCCACAAACAACCGGCTAGAAATACTAAAGAACAAAAGCAGAAGCGAAATTTTGAAGCATCACACCATCATAAGAGCAAACAAACTGCACAATCAGCTATAACAACGAAAATACTCGCAGAGAAAAGAGCTGGAGGGTGGGGGGAGCGTACAGAGCAGAGCCTTCAGCGATATCAGATACGAGAATGGTAGAGCCAGCGAGCTCAAGCTGAGCGGAGAGGATGTGAGGGAGCTCCTGCTCAGCCTTGCGCTTAGGGTATACAGTACGGCCAGCCTCAACAGCACCAAACGCGGCCTTGTAGAACTGCACTGCATCTACTGCCTTCGGTGCCTCCACCACCAGCTGTGGCTTCATCGCCGTGAACTTCACCGCAACTGCCTTCTCCACTCCTCCGTTTTGCACCTCCTGCTGCGCCATTGACGAAACTAAGCAAAAGCTTTTTGCTGAGAAAAAGAACAAGACCGTGACAGCCCCACCGAACCCTAAGAAAGAGAAAAAGAGAGAAGTTAAACAAAGGGAGAGCAATGAAGAAGGAATGGAGGTCAGGGTTGGGTGTACTTATAGAAGCGGGGAAGTGGAACCGTTCAGGGATAAGATTGGGATTTTAAACAAATTTCGTGATTCCGATTTTGTCCTCTTGTTTGTTTTGTACTACGAATCGTGGTGTCCGTTTACTACATTGTTAGTCATTTTCAAAGACCAATAATGCCCTTGGCGTGTCATGCACTCAAGCTCAATGGTCAGTTCATCAGAGTAATGTTGTTGTTCTCCAGTTCCGCTGCTACAGTTCGTCCATTTAGAAATAAATCTCGTTCTGGAGTGGCCGCGTAAGTATGAAAGCGCAGGCTCTACTTGCATCGGGCTCAGACAGTTGTCCGCACCCCCAATTGACATTTTTATTGCCAAAATTGTTTTAATTGATAAAGGTCAAATTATGCAAAAAGAAAGATAAAGGCCTTGTTAATTTGCTTTCGTCATAATCTTCTTTGCTTTCTTTTTCTCTTTTGGCAAGTGAAATTGTGTAAAGTTTGTAGTGGTGCCAGAGCTTTGCACATAATTTCTTACGATATTGTTAGCTGTACCTCAATTTTTTTAATATTTTTTTGTCCCCCGAAAAGTAATAACTGGTATATATAAATTTTCTGTCAAGTTTTTCTAATTTTGATAACTATGATTTATAGCTCAAAAATATAATTATAAATTTTATAAATTAAAACTTAAAACTCATACATGTAACACCCATTCATATAATTTTTTTATTGTAATTTAATTGTCAATAACATATAAAAAGTATTTTGGTGTATTGTTTGAAAAATAAATCTTAAATTATTTAAAAAAATTTAAATAAATCTTTATTCTTTTATTGTGATACATAAAGTTTATGTATTTTTATTTTAATTTAAATAAGTTCTTATGATTAATGGTTTATTAATTGTTATTATTCAAAATGTCACTTGTCATTTTATATTCATGAGATGTTAAAATAAAATATAAAAAAATCACATGATCACGTTATCATGTTTTATCAATATGTTATATTATCATAAATAATGATATATGAACATGTTATATCAAAGTCACGTGCTATAGAATGATAAGTTATATTTTGATTAATAATCATTAATTATAAATATTTATTTGACTTAAAATTAAAATATAAAAATTTAATTAAACAAAATAAAAAAACTCTTATTTGAATTTTCTTAAGTAGTTTAAAAAGTTTTTTTAAGCATTCTGTCAAGGTTTTTTTTATGAAGATGTTATATTTAGATGTGTTTAATACTATATTCTAATTATTTGTTTACTTTTAATTAAATAAATAAATAATTTACTGTTTGCGTGATCCGATTGGGATAGGTTATCATATTGAGAGAATGAAAGGTAAGTTCCATGGCTCAACAAGTTTGGGAAGAAATATTTAAGGAATAATGAATTTACGTTTCCAATTTACGGTATGGATTAAAGTCTATGTTTATTAATGTTATGCTGATTATGAATCAGTTGGTAAAATATCCGAGCACAATAACTGGAACCGGAAGGTGAAAAATGTAGTATTGATTCAAGTCCTAGTAAGCGTTGATGTAGTGAAGGTGAAAAAAATGGATAAGATGAACAAGTGGGAAGCCACATTGAGTGCAAAAGCCGAGACATGTAAATCATCTAGGACCAGTTGAAGTAGCTCATCTCTTGGTTCTACTTTCGCGTCTGTGTTTTGACCCTTACTTTGTAGGTACATACATGCCTCTTTTACAGAAAATGGAGGGCATTTCTTCCCCTTCTTATAATGAGCAATACGCAAATTCACATCAGCAAAGATAAAAGCACCGCGATGTTCGGGTCCGGAGTTCCATTTGCCAGGTTTGACAAATTTCCTTAAAAACGGGGTTAAAGGCTGAGGAGTTTTTTTTTTTTTTTTGGGTTAATCAAATTTTTTTTATTGACATAATGTTCAAAAAGGCTTTTGAATTAATTAAAAAAATATAAATAAGTCTTTTTTTATTACATTTAATTTATTTTTTATATTTTTATTTTAAATTAAATAAACCCTTATTACTTATAGTGGATTAATTTTCATTGATTAAAATGTTATTTGTCATTTTATATTCACGTAATATTGACGAGAAGAGTGAAAAATGACACATAACAATGTCATCATGCGTCATTAATATAATACGTCATCATTAATTATGATATGTTAGCATATCATATTATCATCATTAATTCTAATATTTCAGCATTCTACGTTAGTATCGTGTGAAATTAAATAATAAGTGATATTTTGATTAAGTCAATTATTAATCATAAAAGTTAATTTAATTTAAAATAAAAATATAAGAGTTTAATTGAACATAATTAAAGAATAAAGACATATTTAAATTTTTTAAAATAGTTTAGAGACTTATTTTAGGCATTCTGCTTTTTTTATTTAAATACAATTAATCTTTTTTAAAATAGTAATATTTTGATTAAGTCAATTATTAATCATAAAAGTTAATTTAATTCAAAAAATATATAAAATCTTATTTAACTTAAAATAAAAATATAAGAGCTTAATTGAACGTAAAAAAAGAATAAACATATATTTGAATTTTCTAAAATAGTTTAGAGACTTATTTTAGGCATTTTGCTTTTTTTATTTAAATACAATTAATCTTTTTAAATTTACCCATTTTTTAAAAAAAAATTAAAATTCACATTAGGTTCATTAAAAAGAGTTGATCCCAATGTGCATAACAGAAAATTAAGATTTGAAAATTTGATATATATATATATATATATATAATGACACCTTTTTTTTTTTTATCTCAACACCCTATTTTGGATATTTTATATTTAAGCATCAACACCATTTATATGTTTGGGGTAAAATATTATTTTGAAAACCAGTAGACTCTCATATAATTAAGATTAAAAGTTAAAAATGTTAGTGTACTTTACCTTTGATAATAATATGAAATAAAGTATCAATGAACATAATATGATGATTAAAGGACGAGAAACAAAGTTAAATAGTTTGAAGGACCAATCTAATAAGACTTAAGCTAATATGTAATTAATTATTGACTCATCTCTAAAAAGTAGCTAATAGTGTACTTTAAATTATTTTGAATTCAATTTATTCTTATTTTGGTTTTTCTTAAAACCTAAATAAGATAATTTAGTTTGTTTACAAGCATAATGTTGCTTCAACAAATTAGGAAGAAGGTAATTAGGTTTTTTTTTAAAAAAAATTTAACTGATCTTTTTTGACATATGTTTGGAAAAAAAAAAGGAAGTATCCAAATTTTAATCAATAACTTTTAGTAGACAATATTATATAAAAGTACCATGTGTATAATTAATTAACAGAAATTAACCAAGAGTTAAGGAGAGAGGTTTCTTGACTTAATTAAGTATTTAGTCTGTAAAACATGAGTGGAGCGTAAACAAATAGCAAAACTCGTTTAGGCACGGATCATTTGTATAGATATGGGTAACCCACCCATTACCGTGGACCAGGATCCAAAAACCAACACTTTTGATTTAATATAGCATGTCAAAAATAAATACCAAGATTGAAACACAGGAAAAGGAAGTCGTTTTTTAAACTTAGGGATTTCAAAGTTGATAAAAGGGTCATCAATTCTGTGCACATTTAATTTCTTGTAGGAAAGTTGTTGGAAAAATTAATGAAACTCTCATATCCACTTTCCAGATCAAACCACCGCTTTGCAAAAATTAAACATTGTTTTGATTTTGCTTTCAATGAATGTCAAGTTGATCAATTTAGGAAGGTTTTAAAATATCTTTTTTAATTTATTATTTTATACTTCAATAATGAAAGTGTTAAACTTCATAAGTTTTCTTCTAATTACTGACTACAAAATTGCTTCCAGCCAGGCCGTCTTAGCTCAGCTGGTAGAGCGCATGGCTTTTAACCATGTGGTCGTGGGTTCGATTCCCACAGACGGCGTTATTTAGAATTATCCGTTAATGTTACCATTTTTCATATTTTATATTCCTTTATATTTTATTTTTTTGCCATCTCCCATTCTCCAAAACCCCACAAAACAAATGTTGCAGAGCAGTGTGCTCTTCTTCTTCCCTGCTTGTTCAACTCCAAATCTCCCTTCACTCTTCTTCACGTCATCAATCCCCTCTTACTTGCCCCATCCCCACTATCACCGGCAACTAAAACACCCCAAGAGAAAGAAGCAATTCTTGGGCAGTGTGTCATCCAGCTATGAAGTTGGTGGAGGCTACCCTCATGAAGAATTTGATACAGTTTATAAAACCCAAAACCAACAAGTTCAAGACACCCAAAACTTAGATTCTGCGCAGTATGAAGCTTTACTGAAAGGAGGAGACCAAGTCACTTCTGTTCTTCAAGAAATTATTACCCTTGTAAGCTCCCCATTCTTTTCTTACTACTACTACTACTACTACTACTTCTATTGTTATTATTATTTAGGAATCTATCATTTTTAGGACACTTTAATTTAATTGTGATTTGCATTTGCTTAGGTCTCATAAGAATAGGATACTTGTTTTCTTGGCATGAATATCCAGATATTTTCAGTGCTTCTTTGCTTGCTTAGTCTTCTACCTTTAGACTTTTCAACCTATAGTAAAATAGACAATACGTGCTGAGGACTTTGGAAATAGAAGTCTAAAGCAGAAATACTATGTTCTTTATGAGAAAATTCAAGTCCTGTGATGCCATCAACACATTGATGGCTACACTACATAGAACACCGTGTGATGTGGCAGTAAACAGTTGCATTATATATTAGCATCACCTGTATTTTGGGTTCACAATGACTAGCTTGCTTTGCTGGTTCATAGGGATGGGGGTTTTATGTAAGAAGTGGCATAGACCTTAAACAAACATATGCAGTAGCAGAAGTAGTGGCAACAGCCAAACACAATTGGCCTGAATCTGGTGTGGAATGTGGAGTCTCTGAAATGCTATACTGGTTTGAACTTTGATCAGTACAGATTTTCTAGAGATTTGTTGCTGGACTTTTTTTTTCAAAAGCTGAAGGTTATAGGCAAGTCCAGACACCTAATCACTCTCAGAAACAAGAATCTTAATAAGTGTATCTTCCACATTATTATATTGCAAATCTTCTTAGAGGACTTTTAATATGTTTATGCACACATTTTAGCGGCCGTTCATTCCAGTTTATGTGCTGATATGTCCAAAGAGCCCATAATTAAGCTGCAACAATAGTTGAAATGTGGCTTGGACTTTAGCTGTCTATATGTACCAGGCAGTACCTACTAGCTTTCTGAATTCTATTTGTATTTGCGTCCTATTATGAATCCAATTTTCTTTTCAGGCTTTTGACTAGGAAACAATTTGTCAAATAGCACATAACCTTTGAATTTTGAATCCCTCTTCTCTAATCCTCACGAGCCTAGTAGTGAATTGCATCCATATGTTGACTATATGATGTGTAATGTGGGTACAGCTTGAAGATATGAACATGGATGAGGCATCTGAGGAGGTGGCTGTTGAATTAGCTGCACAAGGAGTAATTGGGAAAAGGGTGGATGAAATGGAATCAGGGTTCATGATGGCCTTAGATTACATGATCCAACTTGCTGAGAGGGACCAAGATGATAAGGTAGTACAACTTTAATTGTGCATTTGCCAGATTTGCTACAGATCATTCTTCGTTATAGACCACTTCTTATCAGCAAAACATGTAGAAAGCTTGGGGAGGCAATTATTAAGTTTTGAATTTGTTCGCATGGATGCTCAATAAAACTGCATCTTAATTTTAATTTGACTTTTGTTATAAATAAACCATGCTTCAAAAGCAAGCTTTTTCATATACAAATATCAATTTTTTCCAACTGTAAAATATTTTATCACACCTCCTAGCTGCTTGTTTGAAGATTTAAGATGACTGGAAAGGGTTTTCACTTGGTACTTCAATATTCAAACTTTATTGAGAATAGGAACTTTAGCATGACATTCTAAAACTGGAATTGAAGAATCATTGATACTTGATAATCACTTGTTTTGTGAAGTGCTTTTCCATCGGCCTGATCTCATTTGTATCCAAGACCAACTATATGATGTAGTACTTGCAATGTTGTCAACTTATCATTTGTTTGCAGGATTATGCAGTATGACTAGTCATTGTGGTTATTTGCCTCTTTTTACAGGGATTTGTAACATCATTAGAAATTACTTGAAGGTGCCTCTCTTTCTATGTGCCTTTTTCTCCCTTTTTTCCTGACATAGGACTGAGAAAGTACTAGTAGTTTAGGACTGCTTGTAGAAAACTCCATGTTAGTTTTCTGCATGTATATTGTTGTCAGTTTGGGCTCTGGCATGGTTTGAAATGTCTGCCTCTGTTATGCTTAGGGAAAAATTGGCAGGCTTGGAGCTGGCCATTTTGTCTTCAGTCATTGTTTGATCTTTATTGGTTGATTTTTTTTTTCTCATATTAAAAATTCAGAATGGACTAAATATGCTTTTTTTTTTTTTGGATTCAGCGAAAGTCACTGCTTGAGGTGATTAAGGAGACCGTGCTATCACATCTCACAAAAAAATGTCCCCCACATGTAAGGAAATCCCTTGATGCCCAATAGCTGATTCAACTTTAGTTCAAAATTAGTCCATGTACTTACATGAACTGAATAGTAAGCTATTTTCTCTTGTTTTTCTTTGCTCCCAAGGTTCAAGTGATTGGACTTCTCTGTAGAACACCCCAAAAAGAAAGCAGACATGAACTACTACGGCGAGTGGCTGCTGGTGGTGGTGCTTTCAAAAGTGCAAATGGCACCAAAGTTCATATTCCTGGAGCAAATCTAAATGATATAGCAAACCAGGCTGATGATCTACTAGAGGTATTTATTTGAAGGTCTTATCATAAATCATACTTTCGAATAATTTTTGAAGTCGATTGGCTGACTGCGTATAACTCTTCTCTTATACCTGTTGAGTTTTGTGTTTAACAAAGTGAAATTCTTTAAGTTGATAGATGCTTGAACATCAAGGTGATTATTTGCATCTTAATAAGTATTTCTGGATATTGATTGAGAGCATGTTAATATTTTGTAAATGAAGTTGTTTCAGTTGATTATTTGCCTAAGAGATGCCTAAGCACCCAGATAGGTCAGCTTCTATTCAGGCTAACTAACAGACCACATCTCGTAATGCTTTTTTAATATAAAGTTATTATTAGATACTTTGTGATGTATTATTTTCCAAAGGATTCATTCATTGTTAAAACTTTAAATTATTGGATATATATGCAAAATATGTTGTATGTAACTTCATACATGACACAATAAATAAAATCAAAAAAGAAGCCCGTTGAATTATGTCTGTTATCACACAATATATCTGACATTTTCAACCGCAATTTTGTTTAATTGCACTATTTATGAATTGTAAATGTTTTGACCTCTGTTGCTGTTATTGTTGCTTTTGAGATGCAAATTTCCAAGTTTAGTTTTGTTTTAATTGTTTTTGGGTAGATAATCCAACTTAACCTAGGTGACTGCCTTAGCATTGGGCTATCACCTAGGTGAGGCTGCATATCAAGTTGACAACTGCGAAGGGAATTTGTCAATGACTTTAGCATGCAGAATTATATTGCTGTTTCCCTAAGAGAAATTGTTATTAACAAATGGATGGCAGGATGCCTTTTTGACTAATACTTTGTTTTGATATAATAAAGAAATGGAAAAAATGATAATAGATCAAATTTTAGGTGGAGAAAAGGATAATATTCTGCTTTATAGCTACAAGTATGGAATTATTCCTTTCGAAGCCTTTCCATCTCCTTTACGTGACTTTATTATATAGACTATATTGTATGAAAGCGTTTTATTTCTTTTGCTACCTTTTAATTAACCTGCTTTTGGGAGACTAGAACTGGGTGGATTTTATTTCTGTTAGTTTTGGTTCACATTTGGCGGTGTTCTCTAAGTTTCTTAGCAGTAAACTTATTTTGCATTATTAATGGTTTTAGACAATGGAAACTCGGCCGGTTGTCCCAGATCGAAAACTACTTGCAAGGCTTGTTTTGATCAGAGAGGAAGCTCGAAATATGATGGGAGGTGGAATATTGGATGAAAGAAATGACCGTGGTTTTAGTACTCTTCCTGAATCAGAGGTGTGCATGATTGCATTTACAAAATCTAAAATTGATTAAGATAGGTGGCTAATCCCTATGCTAAGCATCAAATCTAAAAGCAGTTGCCATTGGTTGGAGAGAGGCCCAACCTGGATTTAGTGCAACAACAGATGTCAAGCCAATGCAATGTGGGATAACCCCATTTAGCACTCCCCTTCATGTGGAGGCTCGATGGAATAGCTGAGAACACATGCCTGGTTGAGACAGGGAAAACAGGGCAAGAAACAATAAACATTAAACAACCTAAGTCTCAATACAATATTAATATTTTTAATAAAAAACCAATTACTAACTATGATTTTGATATCATGTTAAGCTTATAGCAGAAAACTCATTGGCAATAAGGAGAGAGGCCTAACCTAGACGTAAGGCTCAAATAGACACCAAAACAAACCCATGCAGAATAATACCATTTAATACTTTATTTCTAAAAATATCTAAAATTTATATGATAATTTACGATTCTCTAACTTATCAAATAAATCTGCTTTAATGGTTTATGTTATTGCCATTTGAATGATCATTGGCATGATTAGGATCTTATCAATGCAGGTGAACTTGTTAATGAAACTTGTAGCTCTGAAGCCTGGGAAAACTGTCCAGGAAATGATAAAAAATGTGATGCTAGGAAAGGATGAAGGTGCAGACTTCTCTGACTCTGATGAAGAAGCTAATGCTGGTGGAATGAAATCCAGCGGAATTGCAGGAAGGGTCAGTTTTAGATTCATTTATACACTATTTTCTGTGTTCATGAATAAGAAAAGACAGCTGGATTTTTGGCTAGACATGTTTCATGCCAAATCATGGAAATTCTAGTGTATTGACTCACTTCTTGTCATGATAACCAGGGCAGTGTTACAGGGAGAAAACCGCTTCCTGTTCGCCCTGGCATGTTTCTTGAGACTGTCACAAAGGTATCCTTCACTTACTCTATTAGTCAACGGAGTTTTGACTTAATGTTTTGGACCTCATGGCAAGCAAAGGGGCAATCGCCTTTTATTGCATGCCCCTAGCTTATGTGCACATGAACTCCTCAAATCACCTTTTTGCCACATGCAATATCAACACTGATGGAACTTCCTTTCTTGGCATTCTTAGGTCTTGGGTGGTATATACAATGGAAATGTCTCTGGCATAACAGCACAACATCTAGAATGGGTAAATGATCTATTGCCTTGCCTTAGTAACTCTTGAAATTATCTATTTTCTCTGTCATAAGCATATTCTGTTGTCTCTATTATAATCTTTTATTGTTTTTTTCACAACTCCCATTGACAGGTTAAGTGTAGAGTATTCATGTGAATTTGATACTCTTACATGCTATAAATTGTGCTGCACGTATTTTATGGATCATCCTAATAGGGTTTTGATAATTGATTGAGAACTTTGAAGTAAAATGTCATGCATTGTTATGGAATATATTTGCCTATATTTTCTAGAATTTGCTTCATCTCATCAATCACAACGTGCAATTAAGCTTGTTGAACTGTTTTAACATCTGACTGGCCGTAATTCATCACTGTTTGTCTGTGGTCTCATCTTTATCTTTTGTTTATCCAGGTTCATCAGAAAACACTTCAAGTTCTTCAGGAAATTGCATTCTAATGTTTCTTTCAGTGGCATGTGCCAGAAGCTGGATTGCATCATATGCCCAATTTTTATCATTTCTCTAGGGCGAGAGATGATTTGGTAAGTAAAGTTTAGTTATTAGTGCTCCAAACTATGAAATATCTATGACAGTAGGTCATTGAGAAATGGAGCAATGTTAGATGTATCACGTGCGTATGTTAGAATGAACTGTTATTCACTATTTTGGATTTTAGTAGTCTTGCCGGCCAAAAGTTGGGGAGGGATGATGTTCTCCTTAAGAATGAATATATCTAACATGAATGCAAAAAACTGTCGGTTGATATACATACATTTGTTGCTTGCTTTATATTTTTCTTCCCTCATGGGCAATTCCTTGCATTGAACTAGAAGCAAAAAGCAATCTTCGGACAATCACAAACGGCTTTACCCTGTCAAACTCAACCACCAACAGACCTGGGTACATAGATCAAGGTGTGTCATAGAAAGCATTTTCCAAGGGTTTCCCTACCCTTCTGATAACGCTCCTCCCCTTCTCATATCTTTGCCTAATCTTTTAGGTGTTCCCATCTTTTTAGTCTTTATTTTCAGTGACAATGATGTGTTAACCACAGGAAATTTGGTTCAGGATCGATGATGATATCCATAACCTAAGAACTTCCTTCCGTAGCCTACCTCAACCTGGGTCACAGAGAGTTGAGCTACATTTTCCATTTTTGTGACATTCATTTGTAAATTATCCAATTTGTTAATCAAATCTTCAATGATGGAACAAATCAAATCCGTGTCCAACCCAAATCATACATGTGCTGCATCCCGAATCAGCTAACAATGATGAAAATTCACAATCCAGTTAACAATGGTGGATTGCCATGTGGGGAAAGGTCCCACTTAATAGCCATTGTTATAACATGGGTATCAGCGAAGAACCTTGGTAATGATTTAAAATGTCGTGAGAAGTAGAAGCAAAAACAGCAAGGATTGCTACATATTCCCTCAATAATTTACAAAGCCTTTTCCCCACTACCACCCACCCCCCCCTTGTGGCTTTAGTGAGTAAAGCGCAAATATTGAATGAACACCCACCAATAGGATTTGGCACCGCACCTCATCCAGCCTAACCTCTGCTGTATTCTCATGCCACCATTTTTTTCTGTGTATCTTCTTCTTCTTCTCCCCCCGTCTTCTTTTCCGAACCAATTAAATAAAATAAGAGTGGAATTACCCCACGTGAGCAGTCTCTTTCAAAATTTGTTGTCAAGTCTCATGGCGTGCTTGGAATGAACAACTTTTTCTAGTCATCCAAGAGTTAGGAAGTATGGCTTTTGGATAAAGGCAGCTGCATTGTTTTGTTGTATTTCTATTGGAATAAAACTCCACGTTGGGTTTCACTTACTAGTGGATTATTTGTGTGTGATAAATCTCATGCAGCAAATGATGTTTCTCACAACCTTGTGAGGTTGATCATTTCTTGCATGTCACTATATATTTTCACTTTCCTCTCTTCTCTCTCTCCCTCTCCCTATCCAGAGGGATGGGGTGAACTGAAAGCAAATGAAATTCATCATCATCATCATCATCTTTAATTTTGAGCTCACGCAGGTAGCATATATAATACTTGATCTGATCAATATCTTGTATTCGGAGGATCTGCTGATGGGTCCATCTAATGAGATTCACAATCAAACCAGATCAGACGACTGTAACTTTGGCCCTGAATTAATAAATACTTATTAAAAAGTACATAAAAAAAAAAAAAAAACAACAACAAACTAATGTACAAAATCTGGATATAGAATTGAAGACATTAAAAATGAAAATGGGGTTGAATATGGATTCACTTCATACCATAAAAACCTCCCTTGGTGGGTTGATCCCTCTATCACATCACATGACTGTTTTTGAATGAAGAAAATGGTGAAACCGATAATGGAAAGCAGCTGCCCTGCGTTTGCTATGGCAGGCCTCATTGCATCCATCATGTGCACATATTGGCCTAATCCTTTGTCACTGTAAATGGATTCATATCTTCCCTTTTCTGGGATTTATTCTTCTTCATTTCTTTTCTTCAAACAATGGTAAAGAGGAAAACAATAACTCGCTCTTATCCTTAAAGTTCTGGATCTTTTAACACAGAATTATGTCCCTAATTGTCCAAAAATTTATTTTTTTAAAAAAAAGGGAAAAATTCAAAATTTATTAATGGGTTGGAATTACTGAATTAATAGCAATTATATTGAAGTTGGTCATGAAAAATCCTTTATGCTGAAGATGACTTTAAGATATTTTATTTTGTCAAGCTCAAACGAGAATCCGAACTTATATGGTACTCCATATGTTTTTTAAGTTAAAGTCATCTAATGACCTATTCATCTTCCCCTCAAATTAAGCATTCTTTATTTCAATTCTCTAACAATGTGATTAATAAAGTAATATTTCTTTTACTTTATTACTCCTCATATCACCTGCTTTTTTTATACTATACTATATTATATGATAAGATGTATTTTCCTTATTTAGATTAATGTCTGGACAGTAATATCAAAATGCAGTAGCATGTCTAAAATGGATCAATATTTTTTTATTTTTTTGGTTTGTCATAGAACTCCTTCACATCTTGTTATTGAACCAATTTATAAGTACTAAGAATAATCCAAAATGAAACAAAGGCTACAAAAGAAAGAAAAGATTTAAGCTTTGGGAGGGCCCAGATTTGTGCATGTGTTGTGTTTAATAGGAAAGTGCGATGGTTGGGTAGCATGTCCAAAATGGATGAATATATCATTCGAAGCTGTCATTATATTTACTGTTCCCCAACATGGAAAAAGGCAAGTTGGAGTCCCATATTAATTAATTCAGTTATAACTGTTAAGTCATAGTAAAGAGGAGTCCATATGAAAGCCAGTGTACACTTGTTGATGATAGATGAAAGAAGACCTTCATTTGTTTTTCTTTTTAAAGGCTTAACACTTTAGTTAAACTTAGCTTTCCTAATGGGTTTTTACTAGTAAACGTCAAAACAAGAAAACCACAGCTTAACTGTCATCTGATTACCCTTCCTCTTTTTGAATAAAATGAGTGTTTTATCATTTCATTAAGGCAATGGGCGTCGGGGGTTTCTTGGTCAATTTGCTTTCTGCAGTGATTCAACTGCCCTTCATTCACCCATTGCATTATAATTTAAAAAACTTTTCAATCTTGACTAACTTTTATTTGCGACATTCATTCAAGATTGGACATATTTTCTTCCGATGAACGAAAAGAGTTGGAATTTTATTGATCGAATGTGTGTTCCACACATCTTAATGTGTTAGAGTTTGTTAGGGAAAGACTCTGAAAATCATTACTTGACTCGAACAATTGAGAGAAAGAGAATCTTAATTCCTTACTTACTGTTTAGATGTCTCTTTTAATCATAGTTATTAATCAGTCGGGGCCCCTGCTGTGAAGTTAAAAAACACAGAGCCTTAATCATACCGAAAAAAGGCGGTTGCTTTAACAGTTTAAATTGAAGGGACAAATTAGGCATAAACTTGAATTCTCTTTAAAACAGTAAAAATGGGACCCCATCTCCATCCCTTCAAGTGGGTTGAAGCTAAATGGGCCCAGAGGCCCACACTGCCTACTCATTTTCGAAAATTATAAAAGAAATAAAAAAAAATATCGAGAGGACAAAATGGTCATAATTTGAATTCTCAAAAGAACAACTTTGAACTTGTGACAGCTCCAACCCGTCCCACCCCACTGTTCCCTTCTTCCCAGATTAATTCCTCAGCTCAAAACCAGAAAAACAGAGAGCTGAAGAAACCGGAGAGAACTAAAGCTTGTTTCTTTTTTTTTTAAACATATTGACTTTAAGGAGATATTGATCAAAATAAAGAAAATGTCAGGTTACGTTGGCATTTTGGTCTCAGATCCATGGCTGCAGAACCAGTTCACTCAAGTCGAGCTTCGCAGCTTAAAGACTCACGTAAGTGAAGAAATGATTCTTTTTTTTTCTTTTTTCGATCTTTTTTTTTCCAGTTATGAATCTGTTTTGGTCGTAAGTTCGTAACTAACATTTTTTATTTTTTTGGTTTCTGTATTTGTAGTTTATGAGTATGAGAAGAGAGAGCGGGAAGCTGACGGTGGGAGACTTAGCATCGAGAATGTCGAGGTTGAAAGTTGTGGGAGAGAATCTGAGTGAGCAAGAACGAGCTGATTTTATCGCTGATTTGTATCCTGACTTGAACGATGAAGTCGATTTCGAGTTCTTTTTGAAGGTCGGTTGATGTTCTTCCTATTGGTTCCAATCCGTTTTTAGATTGTGAAGATCTTCTTCTTTTGTTTGTTTGATTCTTTTTTTTTCCCTGAAAATTTTGGCTTGAAAATTTGAATTTGCTTGCTCTGTTTTTTTTTTATCCTAGCAATATTTAAAATATAACTTTTCAGAAAAGTTCTTTTTTTTTTGTTCCTTCCATTTTTCTATTGTCCTGGAAAACAGACTATCAATCATTCCTTTTGTTTTTATTTATTTTCACCTACATAACATATTTTGTTGATCTAAACAAAAAAGAAGGAATTATTAAGATGCTTGGAGGATTAACTAATACTAGGAGGAGTAATGAAAAGGAGAGTTGAATTTCCCCATTTTTTTGCTTCTGAAATAATCGGGATTTGGATTTTTTGTGGATAGGTTTATTTGAAACTTCATGCGCATGCCAGTGCAAGAACAGGAAGTCCAGCAAAGAACTCATCAGCATTCCTAAAAGCAGCTACAACTACTCTGCTTCACACCATAAGCGAGTCTGAAAAGGCATCCTATGTTGCCCATATCAATAATTATCTTGCTCAAGATGGGTTCTTAAACAAATACTTACCCATTAATCCTTCCTCTAATGATCTCTTTGAGATTGTTAAAGATGGAGTTCTTCTTTGGTAAATTATTCTTTCAACTTTTAAAGCTTTTGAATTTGTTGTTTTTATGCTTATGGGATGTTGGAGTTTTGAAGCTTTTATACAAAACGAATGCAGCAAGCTTATAAATGTAGCAGTTCCGGGTACGATTGATGAAAGGGCTATTAATACTAAGAGAGTGCTCAATCCATGGGAAAGAAACGAAAATCATACGCTATGTCTCAACTCTGCCAAGGCTATTGGTTGCACTGTAGTCAATATAGGGACACAAGATTTCATTGAAGGAAGGGTATGCATATACTGTACTGTTGCATTATTGAAATAGTTTATTTGATGGTTGGCTTTTAACTTTTGAGTTTAGGAAAGACCTTTAGATATCAACAAATTTGTTTTAAAGCATGCTTTATTGCTTCTGTTGTATTTGCAATGTC